GATGCAGGCCATTGTAGATCATAACAATAACTTTGGCTTTCACTAACTAATCTAGATTATAATTGTATTGTGCTGTCTTTGTGTTTAGAATATAGTGAAAGGAGAGAGTGGAAGAAAGGATAACCAAGACGAGGGTATTCCAATAACCCAAATGAGAGATGACGATGGTTTGAAGCACGTTGGTAACAGTGGAAATTGTTAGAAGATGGATTGTGGATATATTTTGAGGTTAAAATCCAACAGGATTTTATAAGAGACTGAATGGATGAGAATTTTATTAGGATTTTAGGACAGCATTGTGGGACACTTAAGGTCAGTGAGTGAGAAATTGACAGTATGGTTGTGTATTTGCCCCTGCCATGTTCAGTGTGCGACATACGGGTAGAGTGGGTGGAGAATTGGACTTATTTAGTGTTGTTGTTTAGAAAAGAGATTAAAAAGAAACAAGTGAGAGGATAGAGAGTTGAGAACATTAACAAGAAAGTGATTATGATGACTGTCTTAGTCATCTAGTGCTGCTCTAACAGAAATACCACGAGTGGATGGCTTTAACAAAAGGAAGTTTATTCTCTTACTGTCCAGTAGGCTACAAGTCCAAATTCAGGGCATCAGCTCCAGGGGAACACTGAGGGAGGTCTGTGTCATCAATCTTCCCCTGGTCTGGGAGCTTCTCTGTGCAGGAACCTCAGATCCAAAGGACGCTCTCTGCTCCCGGCACTGCTTTCTTGGTGGTATGAGGTTCCCCTGTGTCTCTTTCCTGCTTCTCTCTTTTATATATCAAAAGAGATTGGATTAAGACACTATCTAATCTTGTAGACATCATCAGTATAACCTCATCACAGTGATAGAATTTACAACACCTAAGGAGATCACATATAACCTCATCATAGTGATAGAGTTTACAACACGTAAGGAAATCACATCAGATTACACGATCATACAATACTGGGAATCATGACCCAGCCAAGTTGACAGACTCTTTTGGGGGACACAATTCAATCCATGACAATGGATTTTAAGCTTGACAATGTGTGTGGTGAGAAATAAAGGGGATGAGAGAGAGTGGAAAGACGGTAGGAGCCATGGATTACATTTTTTGGAGGAGTAGAGGGATTATTGGAATAGGGGTACTAGCAGAAGTACTCTGGAAGTATAGAAGGTGGTTGTTACAGTAAGATATTTGGAGTTGAGATTTAGGATAGACTGCAGTTATTAGTAAGGAAGAGACCAAGGAAGTGACAATACAAGTTAATGGCTGATGGAGGAAGAAATCTGGGAAATATCATCTTCATGTATATTGAAATCAACAAGTATTAAGACAGGAGCAGTGTTGGAAAAAGTGACAGTGAACAGGAGATAATACCTTTAATGAATGGGGGGAAGTAACTCAAGGTAGTAAATGATCATAACAGTGAGCGGTAGTAGGTAAATTGTGGGTGATGGCATGAGATTCAAAGTTGGATGTTTGGGGGAGAACAGAAGAAAAATTTGAGCAGAATCATCAAAAAAGAGCAAGGAAGGGGGCTTTAAGGGAAGCAGCAATCTCAAGGGAGAGGTAGGTTTCCCTTAGAGCAAGAAGGTGAAGAGAAAGTTCACGGAAGAGGTTGAGGATATAGGGGGTTTTGCTGATGACCGACCTTGAGTATCAAAAGGCATAGTTGAAAAGGTTATGGAATATGAGAAAGAGCAGGAGTTGGGATCAAGAAGGGTGCTATACAAAGTGCAAGGAGGTTTGAGTGTGGGACATGAGGGGTGACTTGGAAGTCTTGGTATAAGGGGCACAGTTAGATTAGTCCTAATGTTCCCAAGGCAGATGGGGTGGAGAGGTTGTGAGTGTTGAGGGGAAGGAAAGGTTGGTAGTTGGAATCTTGCCAAGAGAATAGAGAGTACTGGGCTCCTACCTGACTCCTTCTGATGGAGGCATGGACTCCTACAAAGGCTGAAGTCTTAGTGCACAGGTAGTTTCTTGCCCCTACCAGTGGTAGCCTGCATAGCCTGTGGGGGGGGGGCAGTTCAAGATACCCCCTGACTTCTACTAAAGGAGACTTCTGGGCAGGGAAAGGGGCAATGTTGCCCTAATCCCAACTAATTTGTCATCCACATGCTCAAATGGTCCTTAGGGCTTTATTTTTTGTGTTAGAGAACAATCTACTGAAACACTTATGAGAAAAAACAATATTTGGATCAGAAGTAAGTCTGATGTCTCAATAGCTGGGAATATGGTGGTTCTGCAAAAAGACAAAGATGTTTGCTGAGTGATGCCTGAGGGGGGTCAGGCAGACAATATCCCAAATTAAACTATCTCCCCAGCTGCCAATCCTGATGCCTGAAATCTCACCTTTAGAGAATTACAGAGTTTCAAGTCCAACTAAGACTTTAAGAAAAAAGCAGCGTGGTGTAGTAGAAAGAGTGCACTGTTTGGCATTCCACTGATCTGGGTATAAATTCTGCCCTGGCCCCTCATCAGCTGTGTTGAGTCAGTTAACTTGCTGTCATTTCCTCACCTCAGTAAAATGTTCAGACATCTCACTGAGGGCAAGTTTTCACTGGGTGGAGATGCCCATACTTCATTCTAATTTTTGCTTAGGGTTAGCATGGAAATAGTCTCACAGTTGACTTAGGGTCCTAGGAGTGACTTACCATATGATACAGAAAATTGAAGAAAATATACAACGAGTGGAAGGTGTATGTGGACACCTGCAAAGCATGGCATTTAAATATTTGCCCCAGACTTTCAGCTGCACAAATATCCTAGATCTCTTCACTTGAGGCAGCCCCAGTTTGTGTTTGGGCCTCTCCTCACCTTGGGCTCCATGCATGTTAATGCATCAGCCCCACATGGAAGGATACATACCTGATAGTTATGGTTGGGTGTGGGTTAAAGTCCTAGTCCACCACTAGCAAGATGTATGACTATGGGAAGCTTATGTCACTTCTCTGAGTTTCCAAAGGTGCATCAACCCCAAAGGAGTATAGGGAGAGTTTGCTGTGGTAACCTGTGGGGAAGCTCCTACTGGAGAGCAGGAAATCCACGACATTAAATTCAGAGTACTCCCTTGTGAGGTAGTAACTCCTGGTCTTGAAAGTATTCAAGTAAGACTGCTTGTTAGAAACACTGTAGAGGTTATCACCTTTAAGGTTCCTTCTACCTCAAATTCTAGAATTCCATGAAGTTGTATATTCAGACAGAACAGAGTCTGGGCAAAATTTAAAGTAGGAAAATCCACCTTCAGTGTTTTCCCCAAGACATTCGTGTCCTCTCACTGCCTTCTGACAGTGCAGGGATTCTCCCCCTCACTCAGACACAGACACACATTCATAGACACTTTGTTGCTCTCTTGAAAGTGAATCATGCCAAGACCTCGTGAGCCTCCCTCCATCCCGTGCCCCGTGTCTCATCCTTCAGGTGAAAGGGCAATTCCCCGGTAGGCTATATAGTGAAGGGGTTATGAACACAGGCTTTGGCAAATCATAACACTGTGTGACCTTGGAAAAGTTATTTAACCTTTCTGAGTTTTGTTTTGTCCAGTATAAAAGGAGAGAAGAGCTTCTTGACAGTAATACACCAAAAAAAAAGTTGCCATTGAGTCGATTCCAACTCCTGGTGACCTCATGTGTGCCAGTGTAGAACTGTGCTCCATAAAATTTTCATGGCTGTGAACTTTTGGAAGCAGATCACCAGGCCTTTCTTCTGAGGTGCCTCTGGGTGAGTTCAAACCACCAAGCTTTTGGTTAGTAGCCCAGTGTTGATCATTTGCACCATCCAGGGGCTCTTTGACAGTAATAGAAACCTGTTAACCAGCTGCTCTTGAGTGGATTCTGATTGGTAGCGACCCTATAGGACAGAGTAGAACTGTCCGCTAGGGTTTCCAAGGCTGTAATATTTACGGGAGCAGATTGCCACATCTTTCTCCCATGGAGTGACTGGTGGGTTCTAACCGCTGACCTTTTAGTTAGCAGCCGAGCACTTAATGACTGTGCTTCTGGAGCTCCTTGGCAGTAATACGGTATGGACTAAACAAGGTAAAGTATGTAAAGTGTTTAGCATATAGCCTGGTGCACCGTAAGTACTCAATACCTTAATAGCTATTATTTATTCCTCATTTGTTAATAACATTATTTGCTGTTGAATATAGCATTTTGTGGCTGCTGCTGCTATTGTTGTTGATTCCCCGTTGACACATTAGAAAGCTGCTTTCATCCACCCCTGACACAATGCACATTGTAACACGTACACACTGCCTAGCCCACCCAGAATTCTCTCCATCACTAGGGCAGGAGAGAGGGTAGCTGGTCTGGTCCCGCTGTGGCTGAACTCATTCACTTTCCTGTCAGTTTTTTTTTGGGGGGGTCCCCTCTCAAATTATACTAAAGAGGCAGCAGCTTTGTCTTGTGGGGACCAGGGTGACTTGGGAATAGGCAGATTGCTTCCAAGTCTGGAGTCATTTCTGATCGCCCTGTATACAGCTTTTTTTTTTTTTTTAATGTTAGTTATGGAAATGGGTAACTTAAATATCTTTTATATATAAATCAAGGAGTTGTAGTTAGTTGCTGTCAAGTCGGTTCCAACATGGCAACCCCACGTATGCACAGTAGGAATGGGCTCCATAGGGTTTTCGAGGCTGTGACCTTTTGGAAGCAGATCACCAGGCTTGTCTTCAAAGGTACCTCTGGGTGGGTTTGAACTGCCAACCTTCTGGCTAGTGGTTGAGTGCTTAACCATTTGCACCATATAGGGACTCCAAATCAAGGGGTAATAGGTATAAATATGACACCAAAATTCTTATTCCATAAATTATATACATGAAAAAGAGCACTAGGAGGCATTAATAGTGAGCTGTCAGAGGATGCTGCATTATATAAGCACATATCGTGATCACAGACTTAAAATATATTACTCCTTACCTGGATTGGCTGTGAAAGGTACGTTTTCTCTTTCAGCTCCATTCTGCTTTCTCCAGAGTCACCGCCCCTGGTTTTTCACAATGAAGAGTCCAAAGTTGTCCACAAATAACATTTATTAATCAACAATAAAACACACAATAGAAAAGGCCTTGTAAATAAAACTATACATTTATAATGCTTTATTTTTTTTTTTTTGCTGCAGTACTCCACAAAACACTACAGACAGTAACAAAATAATTCAATAAATATTAAAAACTTTTGAGAGTTATCAGACACTCTTTATCATATGTGTGCATCAACAATGCCACAGCCATTAGGTACACTATTAAACACTATCATAGATTTCTTTCTGGGAATAAAGGACATGATTAATTTTTTATCCAGAAGTCATAACATTTATACACATCCATACACAAGAGAACAGCTCAGAGTAAGTGAAGCAGACTCCCCAGTGGCCTGGATCCATCTGCCTGTACATCATTTAAAGATATTACAGTATAAACAGAATAGATGTCAACACACTAAAGAGATATGTTAGGGTTTGCTTGGAATGGGAGGAGTGAAAGTCGGGCAATTAATGACAGCTGCTTACATATTTTCCATCGCTCTCTTAGCAATATGCTCCCTTCCCTTTTCTGCTTTTTCTTGGTTGAGGTATTCCAGCACTTTCATTAACAGATCTTCATCCAAGTACTGCCTGTTTGTGGTGTCGTCATTCTTCGGGACCCTTATAGGGAGCCTTTTGCTTATCGAGGCCACTTTGTCAGTCTCCTGAGAGCCTCCTTGATTCAAATGCTCTTTGATGGTCTGCTCAATTTGCTCCTCTTCCTGGAGGTCATCTTCGGATGAGCCTTGACTGGGGACCCGCTTCATCTGGTTAGAATTAATGATCTCAGGGTATTTAACTAGCATCCTGGCCAAGTACTCTCCCAATTCTTGATCCTTGTTATTCAGGTTTTCATATGCCATTTGTCTGTTGTCAACATCTGGCAGCCAGGCAGCTTTGGCAAGCTGATTTGCTTTAGCCCTTTCAGGACTGAAAGGAAGCCTTGGCAGAACCTTCTCTCGGTTATATTGATTGGGAAAATACGGAGGTTTCTGATTTGCTGTACTCTCCATCCCTAAAAGATTTAAAATATCCTCCACAGTGAGTCCTTCTGGAAGGGCCTCTGCCACAGCATGGCCAGGTGTTTTGGGGTAGCCACTCTTGGAGAGCATCTTATTTTGGAACAGGTCTGGGCGGTCTAAGTCAGCCTCAGAGACGTCATCTAGGTCAGCTGGAAGTTCGAACTCCTGTTCAGTTTCCACTGAACCACTTGGCTTCTCCCCGGTTTTGAGCATCTCAATTAAGTCTTCAGGTGGTATCTGTAAATTCCTTGAAATTTCAATCAGCTGATAGATAGACTGAGAATCGAGTGGTTTCTCCAAAAGCCTGATTGCCCTTTCTCCAGTTTGCCCATTCTGTGACCTTGCACTTCCGGCAGCATTCACTAACTTTTTCAAGTAGGCAATTACTTTGGAGACATCATCTGAGAGTTGGTCTTTACTCTCTTTCTGGAGATCTTCATCCTGGAGGCCCGGCTGCCCCGAACGCTTCATTTCATCAGTAATTTGTTCATTTTTTTCTATGTTCTCTTTGCTGTCTCTCACTTCTTCCTGGGTTTGACTCTCTATTTTCTCCTCTACTGGGTTCCAGTCTTCTCCTCCAACTACATCCTCATAAGCGATGTTATTGGCCTTGTAGATATCATCTTCATCATCTGTGTAAAGCTTTTGCTCTTCGTCAGCCCTTTCACGCTTCTGGTTGTTTGGGCCTGTCAGTTTCCCAAGCTCTTGAAAGACAGATTCCAGGGTAGCAAGACTTTGAGGAGTATACTGTTCCTCCACTATTTCATTTGTACGCTTAAAGGGATTGTCCCTGGAATTCTCTTCATACATAGGGGGGAAGCGCATGTGTTTAAGCTTTCTCTCTGGCCACTGTAGAGCCTCATAATCATCAGTCATGTCCACTGGAAAGTTCTTTTCTGAGTTCAAGGAATAGGGCTTGTTTTCTTGTGGTGCAGACTGAGACTCGCTTTCAGCCTGTCTCAGTGCTTCAAGGATTATCCTCATCCACTCATCTTTACTCAGGGAATCCCTTGAACTTTCTGGCAAGCGACTTTCGTCTCCATTTTCTTTTTGCTGAAAGGGAACGGAGACACCTTGGTAGGGATTATAATCTGGGCTGCTTTCCTCTTTGTGAGCTTGTTGCCGGAGCTTTTCTATGTACTCCAAAGCCCTGATCATTTCGGGACTAGGGAACCTTTGGGCATTTTCCAATCTGAGGTCTGGTTCCTTCTGAAGCAGCTGGTTACGTTGAAATGAAGCTGCTTTGGCACAGGAGATGAGGAAAATTAAAGGAATGAGAGACAGGGCTGCTCCAAGCTGGTGGGTCTTAGCTTCTGCCATGTTTGAAAGATTTCCTTAAAGTATAGAAAAGATGGGTTAACACAAATGAAACAGGCTAGAAGACACTATAGCAAAAGCAAATTACGTATCACTGAGGGCAAAAACATAGCAGAGATTATTCTACATTAAACTGGGGATAACTCTCTCTAAAATTCATAAATATTTCTACATAATCCCTGAAAGTTAACCACAGGATCTTTAGCAAAATTGTTATACACCGGCATCAAACATTCTCATACATCTTACACAGTATTCTCTTGGCTAAAACAATAGCAAAATCACTGATATGAGGTTTCTCAAATTTTATTTTCATTTGAAAAAATGTAGTTTGTTTTTTATTGTTATGTTTTTTTCTATTTAAAAAGAAAACGAAAGACATTCCAAGATGAGATTTAGTTATCTTGTGTAGCATTCCTATTTAATTCATTTGCGAAATAATTGGTCTGCTTAATTTTTAAAAAATGCATGTACATACACATGTGGACACACACGTACAAACATTTCCTTAATGTGTCAAAAAAGATGTGGTTTATTTCCTGAATTGCCCATCTGATTTTGCTGTAGAAACACAATGGCAGTGACATTACTCTGTATGATTAGGTGACATAGCATGTTAGAGTCAATCATACTGAATTACCTTCTGGATTAGTCTCACTCACATAGATTTTTCAGAAATAAATTGTGCTCCTACTGGCACCAAATCCAGCTATCAGTTTTGGATGGTCTATACCTTAATATCCTCCAACACATGGGTCTTCTTCTCAGGTCCCAGCTAGTAGACTAAATCAGTGATATTTCCTTCCATGTAAACATACTAAAATAATGAATTAAATTGTGTTTTAAAATCTCTGTGCTCCATATTACTTCTTATAATTTTATTGTGACTGTCTTGCAAAATGCAATTGTGGTTAAATTTTTCATCAGCCCTCAAGAGCGTATAGTAAATAATAACAGATGCTACCAAGAGAACACAAGTTTTCTTAACTAGTCTATTTCTAGACTCATGAGTGTTCAGATTCAGCTTGTCTTATGTCTGTGTCTATTCTGGTGTGGACCTGTGAAATCTGAAATGACTCATCCTTGGGAAATCTTAAAATAACTACTATATAATTCCCAATTTAGATAAACAATGTGTTGGATTCCTCCCATTTAAAAATCTTCATTCATTTTTCTTCTCCAATGTCTTACAATCTCAGATAGGAATTAACAGGGAGATTAGATTTTACATCTGACATTGCTACTGCTGAAAAACTGTTTTAATACCTGCAATTTTATTGCAAATTAAATGCATATAAAAGAAGTTCACAAGTTTGTTAGTGATAGTCTTACTGGATCATGGTTTTGTGATAGGTAAGTAAGTTATGTGGGTATAATTTTCTGTTAGCCAGCATATAAGTTGTATAAAATATCATTGTTCACTAGACCATGTTGGTATTTAAGCAATATTTTCAGTTTTTAGAGCCTAACAATGATTGTAGTTACAGAAACTTCCTAAATACAGATACATATATTTGTTAAAACAATCCCCATTGACTACTTAATTCAATGAAGAAAAAAACTCTAGAATCATTTGAGAAAATACTTCTAAAATATTTATTGCAAGTAAATATTATAACTAATTTTATTTATGAAATCCTGTAGTTTAAATTAAACAGATTATACATTCTTCTTCATATTATTTCAGGACTGTCTTAACTTTCAGAATCAGTTTTCAACAGTTGGCATTTGAAAAAGTAAATTAAAAACCTCATTGAACTTGTTTTCTTTGAAATCATTATACTGCAGTAGTTTTGACACGTGGGTTATGTGCATCCTTTAAAGTCGTTATATTAGAGTTGGGCTTTGCTGGAAAGGTGGAGTAGAATGATCATTTCAGTTGTTTAAACCACAGCCTAACAATAGCTACCACTTGGTCATTTATTCAGGCTTATTTTCGGTGACACAGTTATTTCCTTTGAGTAAAATGGGAAAAGGATTTTTTTTTCCCGGATAGAAGCTCTTTTAAGTGGTAAAGATGGTTTTGATGGTTTCAGCAGCTCCATTATCCTACATAGGGTTTTATTTCAAATTTAGTTTTCTCAGACCCAAATAATTAGAACATAGTTCTTTCTTAGATAGCTATTTTTAACACATTTAAGTTAAAATGTCTTTTCTACCGACATTAGACTGGAACATTGACATAGGTAGCTGGATAAATCTAATCTGAGCAATCATACTAGTTGGGCTATAGAGAAAATAAATACTTGTCCCATTCAAAATTTTGAGCAAAAGATTGTACAACCTATTTCAATCAAAGCATAATAATAACAGTAACTGTTTATACCATTATGAAGATTTTCACCAATGTATTCAAAATCGTCATTTCTCTCTATAACCCAAGATAACAATATTTCAACCCCCAAACAGGAAGAAGCCTGTGTTCTGAATCATTCTAAGCTTACTTTCTTGGGACTAACATTAGTAAATAGTAACATAAACACTTTCAGAATGTACCAATTCAAAAATAATTTTATATAGTTGGTTAATTATGACTAATATGTTTAACAGCTTTGCATCACTGGAAACCTCCTGTTAAGAATATTAAGTATATAAATTATATAACTTGCTATGTATCTGATTCTTAGGGGAAGAAACAATAAATTAAGGAAAGAAACAAAATATCAGGCTTGGTTAACTTCACATTAATACATGCATTAAATCCAAAATCCTTAACTTTTTCACTCTTCTTCCAATATGATTATATACATAATATTCTGATTAATAAATATGCAACAGCAGAAGGTATAAATCACAGATTTAATCACATAGAAATAAATACATATATGTATATATATCATGTGCTTACATTGACCGATGAGCAGCAGGTTGCTATTCACTTAGTCTGTAGATATAAGCTTGCCAGACAATCTTTTTCTTCTCACATAGGACTTAAGGAAAGACCATGCAATTTAGAACGTTACAGTAAATGGAAGAGAAACGCAATCTTACCTCTTTTTCAGCTGGCAGACAAGGTTTTCACAGCGTGATCGTCCTGGTCCGCCCGGTGAGCTCCTCGGGCTGTTTCAGCACCCGGACAGTTCCTCGGCTTATAGGGAGCCGTGGCGCCTGACTCCGCACTGCCACACTGACGTCACCGGACTCAGCCACGAACCACACAAACCCAAGCACGAGCGAGCTTTTTCAAAGACCCTGAGAGAAAATAATCACCTTACATATTTTTTATTTAAATAAAAATATGTTGCATGCTTACGCCACCTGTCTTTTGTAGCGAAAATTGCAGTTTTCTTCTATCAAAATCTTTGAGGCGTGAAATAAAATGCTCCTCACAATTCCCTTTAGCAAGAAAGCAATCTGTTAGACAAGGCAAATTGCAAAATAATCTCATCTTTGTCTTAATATCTTGTTCTAAGAGTTACTTGTTGCTGTTACTGTGATAAGAAAGTTTTACAGGCAAGGGTGTTTATTTTTTTTTTCTTCTTCTTCTTCTTCATTACCTACAAAGAAATTACATTACCATCCCCTAGTATACGTCAAGTGAATGAAAGACACATTATAAATATGAAAAACCATATTTCATATCATTACCACAATCAAAATTCTGAAAAAAATCGTATTTTAATAAAAAGGAGAGCTGCCTCTTTTTATATGCAAGTCAGACTTAAGGTTCTGATGACTTAGAATTGTGCCTCAGAGCTTTAATGTAATGTTTTGAAACGTGCATTCATGAGATTTGGAGGTTAGTAGTTGAAAATTCTGTATGAATCTGTTGGTATCTTTTACAATATCTGATCTCAAAAAGGGAGGCTGAGAAGTTGAGTGCTGATGAAAATACTCGAACTACTGAGAAAAAAACGAGGCTTTCCATTGAGAAAAACACAACTCATATGTAACTGGAATTCACTTGCAATCGAGAGGAAGTTGTAAGATACACTCTCTTCCTCCTGTTGAATCAGATGAATTGAATACCTTCCATGAGTGTGAAAAACCCAGAGAATAATACGATAGTTAACTCCCAGCCTCTCAGATTTGTAATTCATGATCATTGGCTGTGCATTGCCAAGTAACCTGATTACATATTTTAAAGACATATATAGGTCTGAGGAGCACTGGTGGTGCAGTGGTTAAGCGCTTGGCTGCTATAACCAAAAAGGCTGGTGGTTCAAACCCAGCAGCTGCTCCAGGGGAGAAAGATGTGGCAGTCTGCTTCCATAAAGATTGACAGCCTTGGAGACCCGATAGGGACAGTTCTACTTTGTCCCATAGAGTCACTATGAGTTGGAATCAACTTGACAGCAGTGAATTTTATAGTTCTAAAATTTTAACTGTATTTTATTAATGAGATGAATTTCTTAAAAGCTTTTTAAGTACAAGTATATTTTAAGTATGCAAAAGAAGCTTACTATGTAAGAGATTCCTTTTGTATCTGTTAAATGAATAAGCACCTACTAATTTATCCATTTTGTAAATATAGACTCCATTCAATATGTTGTAATGTCTACCAAGTGCCAGACACGTTGCTAAATGCTCGTGGTACAAAGATGAATGGTATACAGTCTTTGCCTTTGAAGAGCCTTTAGTCTACTGGGGTTGACAGACAAATAAAGAGATTAAATTGATATAAGTTGGCAAGCACTAAATAGGAAGTAAGTCAACGATGTTTTGGAAGCATTGTAGAGAGCCACTTAACTCAGCCTGGAAATTGAGAAAAAAAGCCATATGAAAAAGAAGCCTGAGCTAAGACTTCTCATTATTGGAGTTTCTTAAAATGATTTCTAACTGTGCTAGGTAAATTACAGTACTCTTGAAATCCTCAAGGAAATAATAGTTTAAAATCCAATGGAAAAAAATCTTGGGAAAAGTAGTCCGTAATTCTCCTCATTTGCTCTCTTGATGAAGATACTTTTTTTTCCTAAATAAGTGAGAGACCATCACCTGTGGGTTGATATGCAATCATACAGACTCAGACCGGAGTCACATGGCCAACTCGTCCAATATGTTTAGGCCTCATAAGGGGTTTTTAGGGTATGATCAAGTGCTGGGTTGAGGAGATCTGAGAAAATACATCCCATTTCCCAAGCACCATCTCAACGACACCAGCTTATTTGCTGATATCCTTATCAGCTCTACACAAATAATATGATTTTTTTAGATCTTAACAAAGGCCCAGCTAGCAGAACTGAGTTTGACCTAATTCACTGCCCAGCAATTTTAAATGTCCGGTGGAACTAACCAGTATCAATACAAACCCAGAAAACTCCTCAAAGTGATTCTTAAAGGACTGAGTTAGTTAAGCATGGGTCTCAAAACCCCTCAAAGAAGTCAGACCAGGCTAGTTCATTCACCTGAATCTGAACTTCTTTGGTAAGGACTAGTAACTATTGGAGCCCTGGTGGCACAGTAGTTAAGAGCTCGGCTACTAACAAAAAGGTCAGGGGTTCAAATCCACCAGCTGCTCCTTGGAAACCTTAGGGGCAGTTCTCTGTCCTATAGGGTCTCTATGAGTCAGAATCAACTCGGTGACGAGAGGTTTGGTTTTTTGTTTGTTGTTTGTTTTAGTAGCTATAGTTCTTCTAAGATTGCAAAGTCAAACTTCTTCCTGGGAATGTCTTTAATCATCAGAAGACACGCAAAAACTCCCAACAGGAGGCAGCCTCAGGGATGTACTAGCTCCATCAGGCTCATGGTGTGGGTAGTTATGAGCTGTACGTGGGTAGCTGAATTCCTGCCTATAATATGATAATATAATGCATATCTATCATTTATTGAGTGGCATTATGTTCCAACCATTGTTCTTAGAACCCCAGTAACCTAATTTAATCCTCATGACAACTATTTACCCTTTGCTGTTGAGTCGATTCCTACATGTGGTGACCCCATGTGTTACAGAGTAGAATTGCTCCATAGAGTTTCCTTAGCTGTAATCTTTACAGAAGCAGATCACCAAGCCTTTCTTCCATGGTACTACCGGGTAGGTTCGAACCGCCAACCTTTAGGTTAGTAGAGAGCATAAACCATTTTCGCTACCCTGGGACCCCATGATAACTTTAGCGAATAGCTATTTTTATCTCTATTTTACAGACAAAGAAACCGGAGCTCAGAAATTAATTAAGTTGACCACTATCTCCTGACTCGTAATTGGTAAAGAGCTAGGATTTGAACCTAGGTCTTTCCAAAGGTATTTCTACAATAAAGATTATGATTCAGGTGCTCTGACAAGTGATAGGAATACAGGAACAAATATGGCGTGGATACAATTGTCAATGAGCTGAGTCTAGAATGTAGCCATTTTGGGAAAAACACTCAAGCATTGTCCCAGTTGCTTTTACTGCCCAGATGAAGTAGGTCCAGATTGCTATCTGGGGTAGCAGAGTTGACGTTAGATAGGATAACTTCCTTGACATTATGAGGCATATCATAATGGCTTCCAAACAAGAAAGGGCTTGTTGAATTTGGAAAATTCTCTTCACTTGCTGCCTATGTTTTACAGGTTTGTCAACGAGTTATATTTAATAAATCTCTAGAAGTCATTAATTTTTTGCCAGTAGTTATTTTTTCTAAATGGAACTATCTTCTGTATTAGAAATATATTTTGAGAAGTGAAAATGCAATACACACACAGACACACACACACCATATAGACATCAACCATTGTGTTGATGTGAAATATTTTAGGGCATGTATAATACATTAAAGATAACCCATATATCTTTTTATCACTGAGCCTGAGATAAGATCATTTTAAACATTCCTTACAAAATTTTAATCTCCGTTAGTTCTAAACTGCCAGCTAGCATAGCCTCCAAGTAACAAAGCTCTGTATCTTGAACATTTTCAAAATAATTATGTACTGTGTAGGATAATGGTTTTCACTAAATTAGCTTGCTTCTTCACCATGGTACTGTTAAACTCAAACTAATCTTTTACAATTTAAATCTAAGTAATTAGGATGGGCTAATTTGTTTTTATGATTGGATTTTTTAAAGCCTTGATCATTTTGCTCTTTGCTATTTAATTTCATATTTCATGTAGACCAGATTTTGATATCTCTGTCATTTGTACAAGCAATTCTCTACCTTAGTAATCTTTCAGTTTGAAACTTCTCTCTATCACACGCCATTGTGCTTCTCATTTTATTTCTATTTATATGAAAGCAATTAAGATTCAGAAGGCCAATGTGTCTTATTTCTCCTCTTTTGCCCATCTCTTTCTTCCCTGGCTCTAACGCTCTCCCTCATCCTTCTCTCTTTTAAAAGATATGTTTCTCAGGGAGGAATCCAGTCTGTGACATTCATAAATTGAGATCCTCCAGCGTTTGCCTGATCATGGCCAGTGAGGGGATCACTGTGGCTTCCTATGATCCCTTGAGGTCTTGACTATGTTTTATTGCTCATTCCTCCTGTCTGCCTCCCTTCTCCCTTTCTCTTCCTTCTTGCTATTCCTTGTTTACTCTTTGCCTCCCTTATTCTTAGAAACCCTGGTGGCGTAGTGGTTAAGAGTTCAGCTGTAGCCAAAATGCAGGCAGTTCAAATCCACCAGGTGCTCCTTGGAAACCCTATGGAGCAGTTCTATCCTGTCCTATAGGGTCGCTATGAGTTGGAACTAACTTGACAGCAACAGATCTGGTTTTGGTTTTTCCCTTATTTTTTGCCTTCAAAATTTACTTAAACTTCCGTCTTTAAGTTACAGTACATTTTCTTTACTAACGAATGTTCCTAATGTAAGATGAGTTTTCATTTTTAATTTAGGCAGGGGTGGTTCAGTGAGAATTCTCGTGCCTTCCATGCAGGAAGTTTGAGTTCAATTCCTAACCAATGCAGCCACCACCTGTCTGTCATTGGAGGCCCACGTTTTGCTATGAAGTTAAACAGATTTCAGCGGAGATTGAGTGGGAAGAAAGGCCTGGCGATTTACTTCCAGAAATCAGCCAACAAAACCCTAAGGATCACAGTGATCTGAACCGTAACCAATCATGGGGATAGCCCAGGACTGGGCAGTGTTTTGTTCTGTTGTGCGTGGGGTTGCCATGACCTGGGGGCTGACTTGATAGCGGCTAACATCAACAACATCAAAGAAGAGTGACATGTTTTCATCTTCCCTTGGAAGCGCAGGGCCTGCCAAAATGTTGTTTGGAGAAAACACAAATCACAAACAAGGTACACTTTACTTAATACTGCCCAGTTTTCCAGACAAAATCCATTAGTTTTTACCTGT